ATATATATATATGTATATCATTCTTAAGCCTGTTTCTAGTACTGGGGTTAGTAAACTAGGGACTGCTGTTTTTCTAAATAAAAGTTAATTGGAACACAGCCAGGCTCATTTATTGACGGATTGTCTGTGGATGCTTTCATGAGTTTGAGTAGTAGTTGCAAGGACTTTCATAGCCTACACGCTACTCTCTGGCTCTCTGCAGAAACAGGCGGCCAATTCCTACTGTATACTGATGGGGCTCTGCCCAGATCGCCTTCACCAGGCAGAGATCCAGCACCCCTCCCTGCAGCTGTCCAAGCCATACCTAACAAGGACCAACAGCTGCTTTCTTCTTTAATGCTTTGGCCAAATTGGAAGTACCTCAAGCAGGAGGTTGTCTCCCCATACTTTGGGGAATCCGTAGGCAATGACTAGTAGAGAGTGTAAAAGGCCAGCCTCCTTATCTTCAAGTGTGACCAACTCTGGTTCAAACCAAGCTCCAGGGGCTCATGGGATCAGGCTGAGGCCAAGTCTCCAGCACAGACGGTATCCTTACTTACCTCTTTTTCCAGCCCCAGCCTGTTTACCTCATTCCCCTTTGCTGCAGAGCTCTCTCCCAACAAAGCCCTTATACAAAAATCTCCATTCAATATAGGAAATCCAACCTAAGATGCCTACAAACCTGCCTCCTGGGAATTACTGCTCTGCTTCATAGAGAAGGAGACTGAAACCCGGGAAAGTCAAATACTTAGTCCAAGGTTGTCTAGTCATCAAATGACACACCTAGGATTCTAAAGCTTCTTCTCATTCTGCCACATCACACAGACTTTGCTTTACATATTATTAGTCTAGTTTAACTTACTGACTCCAGTGTATCCACCACATCCTGCCTGTCTACATCTGATCCTGCTCTTATCCCAGCCTGGAGTCCTCCCACTCACTTGTCCAAGACCTTTTTGCATTTTAAGCCAAATTCCAGTGCCACCCCCAAAGCCCTGTCTGATCCTATCTCCTATTGCAGGTGTGGTCAATTTTATTCCCGTATCTCATAAAGCACTCTGTGTCTTGCTTATGACATGCACCACTTTCTCCCTTTTACCCAGCTTTGTATTCACTTCTGCTATCTTTCTCCTAAGAAAGAATCACAGAAAAGATTAATGTCTGAGTCATCCCATGTTACGTAATTCTCCGCTCCAAAGTTTTCATAACGGTGGCACCACCAACCCCATGCCCATACAACTCTAATGGGCATATAGTATTTCAAAATGAGGCAGATTATGTACAGGTTCAGTTAGGGCCACCTGTTAATGCTCTATCCTCAGGAAACCCCAGAGATGCTTTTATAGACACCCAGCCTCAGTTCAAGGAGAGTTAACTTCTCATTTCTATGCTCAGAGAAGCAGAGAAGGACTCCCTGGCTTCACTGTCTCCCATATCTGCTCTGTCAGTATCAGCTCAACTACCTGAAGTCATTCTTCCCCAGGTCCCAAGCTGTGGGATGGCAGACCACTTTGCGGCCATCTCCTGGCTCAGTTAGCATGGAGTTTTGCCAGAATCCTTGAGTCATATGAGGAAGGCCAACGGACACAAAGAACTGCTCAGCTTCCTTGAATATCTTCTCTGCATCCCAGAACTGCGTGGAGGAAGCGGGGAGAACAGTATTTAATTATAGCATTAAAATAACAGCATTCTTTCTGTTGGATATACACATCAACATAATCTATCCAAACAGCAGTTTGACAACATGTATGGACAGCTTTTTAATGTTTACACTCTTTGTCCCAGTAATCCTGTCTCTAGGGAACTAATCTAGGAAATTATCAGAAAGTAGGTCAAAGAATTACAGTGAACATGGTTTTTAATAGGGAAAAACTGGAAACAACCACCAGAATGGTTAAATAAATAATGATCTCTTTGGAGAATGGAAATTGTGCAGCTGCCCAGATTATATTTGAATAATTTTCACTGGTATTATGAAATACAATGTAATAGTAAATGAAAAAATAAAATATATAAAACACTCATATGGTCTTCATCTTAATGGGGAAATACTGCACATGAAAATATTAACCGTAGACTGGGTGAGATAATGTGTATTTTTTCTTTCTTATTGATATTCTAAGTGCAAACATAAAACACATTTACCTTCTATTTGATAAATACCATTCAACTCAAACCAACTGTCATTGCTTGAGTTCCTCCAGGGGTCGCAGCCTTATTTTAGGAGTGGTAGAAGACACAGACAATAAGGTAGGCAGGCATGAAAGCATGGGCTTTTGGAATAAAAAAGGCCCAGATGTGGCCTAAAAGGCTATGAAAAATTGGCCCTTGACTTCATGATGTGCATGAAGTCTAAACATTCAGACTATTTTGGCCATCAGTATCTGCCACCGAGCAAAGTCTCCTTGAAACTAATATCACAGGAGATGAGCTAGCTTGCTTAGGAAATAAGGCCCACATAAGGCAAACAAAGTTTGTGTAATCAGCAGGTAGTTCATGAATCACTTTTAGTAACAAAGAAAACTTGAACATCAGTCAATTTCAGTTTATCTTCTATGTCAACCCTGGAAATAAAAACTAGAAAGGGTAATTATGAGATTTTTTTTGGTTATTAGCCTTTTTAAAAGTTAATATCAGGCAGTTGTATCGATGAGTATGACATTCTTTATCTTTTTTTTTCTTTTATTGAGTTTATTGGTACATTTAAGGTACACAATACAATTATGTTCATTATTGGGATCTTGTACCTTTACATGACAGGTCTTGGTTGTCATTTTTTTCCCCTTGTCCACGCCCTCCCTTCACCCCCTCCTCCCCTCCCCATTTACAAGCACTTTATTTCCATTTTTTCATTTTCTCATATTTTTTCTCTTCCCTTATTACCATTCCCCTACCCTTCCCATTTTCCCTACACCTTTAGCACTTTTCTTCCAACATTCTTTATCTTAATTTAAATTACTGTTTAACTGACACAAAAAAAAGTATACATATATCTGGGGGTGCCATGTGATGTTTCAGTACAACATTATATGATGTTCACATCAGGGTAAACATAGCTATCTCCCCAAATACCATTGTGCTATGGTAAAAATATTTCATCTTTTCATATAGCTTTTTGAAATATACAGTACATTATTGTTGTCTATTATATTTAAATAATAACTGCATAACTATTTAAATAATGACTGTATGACAGTATGTCATACAATAGCACACCAGAACTTCTTACTCCAATCTAACTATAACTTAGTCCACATCCCCCTCTCTCATCCACTCTGCAGCCTCTGGTCACCATAATTCTAGTCTCAGTTTCTAAGAGACCAACTTTTTTAGCTTTCACATATGAGTGAGAGCATGTGGTACATGTCTTTCTGTGCCTGATTTATTTTTCTTAATATAAGGATATTCAGTTCCATGTATGTTGTTGCAAATGCACAAAATGTATTCCTTTTATGGATTAATAGTATTCAATTGTGTTCGTGTGCCACATTTTCGTTATCCAGCCATCAGTTGGTGGAAATGTAGGTTGTTTCTATTTTTTGGCTATTATGAATAGTGTTGCAATAAACAAGGAAATGCACATGTCTCTTCAACATACTTATTCATTGTCTTTGGGTATATCCCCAATAGTGAGACTGCTGGATCCTATGGTAGGTGTTATTTCTAATTTTTTAAGGGAGCGTCATACTGCCTTCTGTAATGACTGTACTAATGTTCATTCCCAACAGGAGTGTCCAAGAGATCCCTTTGCTTCACATCCTCACCAGCACTTGGTATCCTCAGGATCTTTGGGGTTTTTATAATAGCCATTCTTACTGAAATCAGCTCAAGGTGCTGATGATTAGCGATGTTGAACATTTTTCCCATAGCTGGTGCCCACTTGTATGTCTTCTTTTAAGAAATGTCTAATTTACATCTCTTGCCCATTTTCAGTCAGGTTATTTGTGTGGCTTTTGTTTCTGCTATTGAGTTTTTAGAGTTCCTTATATATTCTAGATATCAACCCATTATCAGATGTATAGTTTCCAAATATTCTTTCCCATTCTGTGAGCTGTCTCTCCACTCTGTTGTTTCCTTTGCTGTACAACAGCTTTTCAGTTTGATGTAATACTGTTTATCTATTATTTTGCTTGTTTCCTGTGCTCTTGGGCCCTTATCCAAATATATTTGTTGATTCCAATGTCCTAAAGCATTTTTCCTATGTTTTCTTCTACTAATTTCAGAGTTCCAGGTCTCACATTTAAGACTTTAATCCACTTTGAGTTGACTTTTAGAACTGGTGAGAAAGAGGTCTAGTTTCATTCCTCCACATGTGGATACCCAATTTTCGCAGAACCATTTGGCGAGAAGACTGCCTTTTCCAATGCATGTTTGTAGTACTTTGTCAAAATTCAGTTGGCTGTAGATGTATGGGTTTATTTCTAAGCTCTCTTTCATTACTCAGTGTGTGTACTTCAATGCCAAAACTATGCTCTTTTGATTGCTGTATAGCTTTGCAAAATACTGCTAGAAAGCTGCAAGAGTTCAGAGAACTTTGAAGATTCAAGTTTTTATTCTGCTATGGACTTTCCGCAGGAAAATATGTGAAGATACTCACTACATTGCTAGTTATAGATTTAAAACTATCAACTAGAAAAGGTTTAATAGTAAAAAGAGAATTACTGTATGATCATCTGAAGAAACTTCATAAGGCAAATAAAATATTGTTAATTCTTCACAAAAATATAAAATTTAACTAAAGACAAATACATAACTAAAATTTTAATATGATTTGATCAATGAAAAGGAGCACATAGAATTTAAATAATTATATGAAGATGGCAAGAAAAAGAGCTGGGGATTTAGCTCAGTGGTACCACCACCTGCCTCAGAAGCACAAGGTCCTGAGTTTGATCCCACCAACCCCACCTGGTATCCCCCCAAAAAGATGGCAATATTCCAAAACCAAGGAAAGAGCCACTGAAAAAAGACAACTACAGGCCAATCTCCCTGATGAACATAATGCAAAAATCCTCAATAAGATATTGGCAAGCAGAATACAGAGGGTCATCAAGAAGATCATACACCCTCACCAAGTCGGATTTATCCAAGGGATGCAAGGATGGTTCAACATATGTAAATCAATAAATGTAATACACTACATTAATAGAGTGAAGGACAAAAACCATATGATCATCTCAATAGATGCAGAAAAAGCATTTGACAAAATTCAATATCCATTGATGATTTAAAAAGACCCCGCAGAAAATTGGAATAGATGGTCTTTATCTCATCCTGATAAAGGCTCTCTATGACAAACCAAGAGCCAACATCATATTGTGGCCCAAAACTGAAAACCTTCATGCTAAAATCAAGAACAAGACAAGGATGTCCACTATCACCACACCTGTTCAATATAGTTCTGGAAACATTAGCCAAAGCAATTAGACATGAGAAAGAAATTGAAGCAATAAAGATAGGAAAGGAAGAAGTTAAACTATCATTATTTGCTGATATGATACTCTACATAGAAGACCCAAAAAACTCCGCCAAAAGACTTCTAGACTTAATTGAAACTTTCAGCAAAGTAGCTGGATACAAGGTCAGCAATCAAAAATCAGTAGCCTTCTTGGACACAATTAACAGACTCACTGAGAGAGAAATTAGGGAAACAATTCCTTTCACAGTAGCATTCAAAAAAAATGAAGTATCTAGGAATCGATCTAACTAAGGAAACAAAAGACTTCTACACTAAAAACTACAGCACCCTGAAAAAAGAGATCAAAGAGGAAATAAGAAAATGGAACGATATTTCCTGCTCCTAGGTAGGAAGAATCAACATAGTGAAAATGGTCATACTACCAAAACTGTATACAGATTCAATGTAATCCCAATTGAAATCCCAACAGTACATTTCACAGAGCTAGAGAAAGCAATTCAAAAATTCATTTGGAACCAGAAGAGACCTAGAATAGCAAAAGCCATCCTAGGCATCAGAGATATGGTAGCTGGTATAACAATTCCCAATTTGAAAATATACTACAAAGCCACTGTGATAAAAACAGCATGGTACTGCAAAGAAAAAGATCTGAGGATCAGTGGATTACATTGGAACATATAGAAACTACTCCAGATGTACTCAGCTAACTCATCTTTGACAAAGGAGCCAACCATCCTCACTGGAGGAAAGAAAGCCTCTTTAATAATAAATCCAGTGTTGGAAAACTGGATTTCAACTTGCCAAAGATTAAAACTAGACCCTTATCTTTCACCATGCATTAAACTAAAATCCAAATGGATTAAAGATCTAAATATTAACAGAAATACTAAACTTCCTGGAGATAAGTTATGTAGAACTCTCAAAGACATTAGCATAGGAAAAGATTTTATGAACAAATCACAAACAGAACTAAGAGACAACCTACAATGTGGGGAAAAAAATTTTACCAGCTGCTCCTCAGACAAAGGACTATTATCTAGAATATATAAAGAACTCAAAAAATCAGGCCATCCAAATATAAAGACCCAATTAAAAAATGGACGTCTGAAATGAACAGACATTTCTCAGACAAAGAAGTAAAAGCAGCAAATAAATATGTGAAAAAATGTTCAACATCACTGGTCATTCAAAGATGCAGATGAAAACAACACTGAGATTCCACCTCACCCCACAAAGAATGGCTGCTATCAAGAAATCACAGAATAACAAATGTTGGCGGGGTTGTGGGGAGAAAGGAACCCTCCTCCATGGTTGGTGGGAGTGCAGAATGGTGCAACCACCGTCAAAATCAATATGAAGATACCTCAAAGAACTAGGATTAGAGGTTCCATTTAACCCAGCCATCCTTCTGTTGGGTATCTTTACAAAAGAATTAAAAGAATCATACCACAGAGAATCACACCATATGTGCACCCATGTTTATAGTGGCAATTTGTAATAGCTAAAACCTGGAAACTGCCCAATTGCCCATCAACTGGAGACTGGATAAAGATGTGGTTTTTCTATAACACAGAGTAGTACTCAGCCATAAAGAATAAGAAAACAGAGTCATTTATACAAAAATGGGTGAATATTGAGGACATACTCTTAAGTGAAATAAGTAGAACACACATGTGTAAATACCGAATCATTTCTCTGGTGTGACAAACTAAATGTGTAAATAAGATCCAAATTGTATAACTGATAATGTGAAGTAGGAAGAAAAGGGCTAAAGGTGTAGGGGAAGAGGGAAGGGTAGGGGAAAGGAAATAAGAGAAAAGAGGGGGTGAAAGGAGGGCAGGGGTGTGGGGAAAAAATGGGAACCAAGACCTGTCATGTAAAGGTACAAAATCCCAATGATGAATGTAACTGTACTGTATGTTTTAAAGATGGCAAGAAAAGGGTGATTTTAAATATTCTTGTCATGGTTTAAACAATGATTTCTTTTTTTTTTCTTTTTTGGTACCAGGGATCAAACTCGGGTCCTTACGCTTATGAGGCAGGCAGCAGAACCACTGAGTCAAATCCCCGGCCCCTTTTTTTTTTTTTTCCAACAATGATTTTTAACATGAAAAAATCTTCTAATGATATTCTTGGGGTTTTTTACTATTCACTGAATGATTACTTAACTTTGGAAAGTGTACTGCCAACCAGTTGCTATTTCTTATTGCTTAAAGGAAAACTCAGATCTTTTCTATGTTTAAAACCTCGCAAAAAAATCAGTACCACACTTGTTATTCAAGGTGTTAGGGAATTGATCATGTTAAAGTATGCTGTGACGCCGCCTCACAGGCTGTATTTTCCTGGTACATCTTGGCTCCTAAAATGACCTCATGCCCTTATCTCTGGTTTCCCTCCCCCACAAGGCCACAGTGGTCCAGGAAGTTGAAACCTGTGTCTGCAGGACTGGGCCCATAAAAGCAATCTGGCCTGTGATAGGTTAAAAGTAGCTCACTCCTCATAAATAAGCAATAGCCCACCCCAAAACTGATAAAAGGACCTTCCTTTCTTTGTTCTCTCTCTTCTTCTGCTTCTTCCTCCTCTCTCTCTCTCTCTCTCTCTCTCTCTCTCTCT